CATGGGGAAGAACTTCTTTACTGTTCCAGCCCCAAGGTTTGGAATAGACTGCCGCCAGAGGTGGTTCAAGCACCCACTTTGAAACCCTTCAAGACGCATTTGGATGCTTATCTTGCTGGGATCCTATGATCCCTGCTGACTTCCTGCCCCTGGGGCAGGGGGCTGGACTCGATGATCCTCCAGGGTCCCTTCCAGCCCGAATGTCTATGAAATCTATGAAGTTATGATGGCAACACTTTTTTTTTTGCTGTTGCTTTCTTCTGGACTCCAATTTCTTTACATCCTTTTTAAAGCGTGACTTAAAGCGCACCAGTATTTCATCTGAAGTCTCAATCCACAGCAATACAGTAGAATAACAACCTTCTGTGGTAGACACTCCTCTTAATACAATGCAGGATGAAATTTGCCTGTTATGCAACAAAATCACATTACTGACTTATGTTTAGAGAATGCTCCATTATAACCTTGAGATCCTTCTTGGAAATACTGCTGCCTATCCAATTAGTCCCCATTTTGCATTTGTGCCCTTGCTTTCTCCTTCCATAGCATGCTGCACTTACCCTTTATCCTGTCTTGGTGCTTTCACACAATTTCTCTCTTTATTACGTTCATTCTGATTTCTGATCATGATCTCCAGAGCACCTGAAACACTTTACAGCTTGGTAAGACTGACAACTTTATAAATGCCTTCTCAATTGTATCATCCATGATGTTAATGAAAACAGCCAATGGAACTTGGCCCAGGACAAAGGGAAGTAAGGCCCCAGTGCAAATATTCTCGTCGTTTGACAGTGAAACATTGATCTACCTTTTAAATGTAATTTTTCAGCTGTCTAACAATGACTTCACATAGAAGGCAGGGTAGACACACGCCTTATAGACCAGAGGTTCTCAACCTTGCTGGACTCAAGGCACCCCACACTGCATGCGAGACCCCTCTCTGTAACTTTGGCCAATTGAGTAGCACCTGATTTCAAAAACTGATTTATACATTACTCCCTTTCATGCAAAGGGGCTTGGCAGTGGGAGTGGGGGACAAACAGGGACAAGCCTGTGGTACCCTTCAAAGGATCTGGAAGCGCCCCAGGGTGCCCTGGTATCCTTGATGTAGCAGGCAACGGTCCTCCTGGATCATAGTGTATGTGTGAGAGGTCACCAGGACCTTTGACAAACATACCCAGAGAGGAGTATGGAGGAGGGGAGGCTGCCCAGACCTTCTATTCCCCCCCAGCTTTAGGCCATTAGGACAGTATCCAAAGCCCAGACCTTTGGTGCTTCAATGGCTGTAGTTACACCTACATCTAGGAATCAAACCCAGGTCTCCCATGTGGGGGACAAAGATTGAATCACATCTGTGGGTGCACTATGGATGAGAATCACCCTTATAGACTAACTCAGTAAGATGTATATACGGAGCACAAGCTTTCATGAACTCAAGTTCACTTCATCAGATGCTGTGAAAGGACAGCACAGAGCAGTGTATAAACTGGACTTCACATAGACCACGCTTCCCGCATTTGCTCAGAACACCTTGTCACAGGCTAAAAGCTTCACTATAGCCCCAGTGTATCACATATGCAGCTTCCCCTGGGCCCATTCCCTTGTCAGACAAGGAAATTAGATTTGGCTGACACAATCCATGGTCAGAGAGTCCATGCTGGTGGTCAGGTTGCCAACCCTCCGGAATTGCCCTGGAGTCTCCAGGTATTAGATATAAATCTCCAGGAGACTCCTGAGAGTCACCCGGGACATAAACGATAGGGCATTCATTAAAATATGTATTAAATGTTGAATCTGATTTATACAGTAGTCTAGTGGGTTTTTAAAATGTAATAGTAATGTGCATTTGCCTTCCTGATGCACCATAATCCATAAGTGGTATACACAAGCACATACGCATTGTGTTGCGAGCACATTGGCGTTCTGGAAACCTCCCAAAATAGATTCAGACTTGGCAACCCAGGCTGGTGGGATGGGTTGGTTTAGGTTTTACGTGATCCACCTTAACCTCTGCATGGTGCTTCTAATCAGTTCTCAACCTTCACAGACTCATGGCACCCCTTGATAGACTCATGGTAACTAACCCTTGGTAGACTCATGGCATCCCTTGATAGAGTCATAGTGTCCCTTGATAAACTTGTGGCACCCCTTGATAGAGTCATTGAAAATGAGGGTTGGAAGGGACCTCAAGAGGGCACTTCTAGTCCAAACCCCTGCTCAAGGCAGGCCCAGCCCCACCAAGACCACCCCAGCAAAAGTTTGTTGGAGCCGGTTCTTAAAACCGTCCAAAGATGGAGAGCCCATCACCTCTCCGCATAAGCTGTTCCAGTGTTTTACTGCCCTCCTCGTGAGAGAGTTTGTCCTAATATCCAACCTCAACTTCCATTGCTGCAACTTGAGCCCATTGCTCCTTGTTCTGTCATCTGCCAGTCCAGCTCCTTCCTCTTTTCAGCCCCCCTTCAGGTAGTTGAAGGCTGCTATTAAATCCCCCATCGGTCTTCTCTACTCTAGACTAAATAAGCCCAGCTCCCTGTCCTTATAAATCATGTGCCCCAGCCCACAGACCATTTCTGCTGACTCTCTCCAATGTTCCACATCCTTTCTGTAGTGGGGGGCCCAAAACTGGACACAGGACTCCAGATGTGGCCTCACCAGCGCTGAATAGAGGAGAATAACCACTGCCCTCGATGTGCTAGCAACGCTCCTACTAATACAGCCCAGGATGCTGGTGTCCTTCGTGGCACGAAGGTCACGCTGCTGGCTCATATCCAGCTTACTGTCCACTGTCATGCCCAGGTCCTTTTCTGCAGAGCTGCTGCCCAGCCTGTCACCCCCAGGCTGCACCGGTGCATGGGGTTGTTCTGTCTTAAGTGCAGGATTTTGTACTTGTCCTTGTTGAACCTCACGAGATTCCTTTGACCCGATCCTCCGAGTTGTCTAGGTCACTCTGAATCCTAGCCCTGCCCTCGTGTCTGCCACTCATGACATCTCTGACAGACACGTGGCACCGCTTGACAGACTCAGGGCACAGCTCAGAGGCCAGGCCTCAGTTGTCACTGTTTGCTGCGGGAACACATGAGATAAGAGCCAAGAGCTGGGGACAGGCTGGCTTGGACACTATGGGCCCCACTGGATATCTGTAGGCCGATGCTGTGCCCGCTGTGGCCCAGCCCTCTGTCCCCCACGTGGCGCGGGCCCGAGCGGCTTAGCCCTTTAAGAGCACCCCGGGGCACCCCCGAGCGCCGCTGCTGACGTGGGATCGCGTGGCGCCTCTCCCCATAGAAGCCACTCCCCGGCCGCTCCGCGCATGCGCACACCCTCCCCGTGGCCCCTTTCCCAACTGAGCAGGCGCAGCCGCAGCAAGCCGGAAGTCGAGTCAAGGCGGCGCCCGGCTCTGCGCATGTGCAGCGCACGTCCCGGGAAAATTACGCGAGCCAAGGCCGCTCCCTTGTGTTCCGGTTGCGCAACGCGGCGCAGGCGCTATGCCCGCCTGCCTCCTCCTCGAGCAGGCTTCGCCCCACCCCAGTGACGTCAAGGCGCATGCGTACACCGCCAGCGGGGGCACCACCGTTGGCGCGTCCCTCTCCTTCGCATGCGCGGTGAGGCCCGGAGCCGCTGCGCGCATGCGCAATGCCTCGTGC